CTAAATAAAACTTGAAAGCAATGAATGATTTATATTAAAATCAAACAGATAAAAAGGAAACTGGACGCCCAAAGGTGATACAGAAATCATTGAAGAATATTACTAAATAAAACTTGATAAACAATGAATGATTTATATTAAAATCAATAGAATAAAAAGATCTCAAATGTTCGACAAACCAAAATAGAATCAGTAACATGTTAACCGCGAAAATAAAAAACTGCATCAGAGCATCAAAAGAAATTTTGGTTAGCTCCGATCTCCAAAATTAGTAGTTATGACATTTATGAGAAAACAGTGATTCGTACCACGTTCCTGGTATAATAGAACCATTTAATGTAAAGTAAATTAAATTCAAATTTCACTAAAATTTTAGGATAGGTTGAATTTACACTGCGAACAACTTTACTTAGTACAAAGAACGATTTACTTAGTCAAATTTCACCGAATGGTCAACCATAATCGATTAATATATGGGTCTTTGCCTTGAAAATGACCTTACGGGACTTTGTAGATTTTATGAATAAAAACTAAAACTTCTAGCCATCCAATTGAACCACCATTCTTTAACGAAAGAATACAGTAACAAACTTGAATTTTGTTTTAATTTATTTTTATTAAATGTAAGAAAAAAATTAATTGTTGTCTGCATTGTTAATATAGCATTTCAATTTAAGTAATTATTGTAATAATTTGGCTCTTTGTCACATAATATAACGGACCCATAGGTCCGTTATGTCATATGATTATAACTCCAACCAAGAAAATCATTAAATTTTACAATATGGTAATGTTAATAATGTTAATTCAATCATTAAAATAACATTAGTATTATTGTCAAATTATTTATAGAAAAATTGATTTATCAAATCGTTGTTTGTATTTGAAGTAAAATTATAACCAAAGAATTAATTGATAAGTATTCTCTATTACGATGAAATAATCCACTTTGTAGATATACTTTCTGCAGTTTCCAAAAAAAAAAAGAATTTGATTATTCATAAATTTTATAAATTTTTAAATGCGACAATATATCTATAAGAATATATACTATTTGTCTAAACAAAGATAATAATTTGGAATTTTGGATTTAATCGTATCATATGATTGGTGTTTAAAACTTTGTGTCATGTAATCCGTAACTTTATTTAATAAAATTGTTAAAATTAATCCAAAATGCAGAAGCATTTTATTTTCGTGCAAACAAAATGATTAATTCTGAAGAAAATTCTTTATAATATTTATCGATAAGCATTATTAATTAAAAATTTTATTCTTTAGTTCCTATATAGGATTAAATTCTATCTCATAAGTACAAAAGTAATCTTTATATCTTTCAAATTCATATTTTAAATTACATTTTATATTTCTAGCATGACAAAGATCAATTATTTCTTTCTCACACTCTTTTTGTTTTTCTACATCGCAATTTTCTAATCTCACAAATTCTATATACCTTAGATTTTTGGCTTTTTCAACAAATTTTCTTAAATTTGGAAGTAGATCAAGCTCAATATTAAAAGGTAATATAAGAACTTCTAACTTAACCCTTTCTACATCAAAATCTTGTAAAAATCGATCCAAGTTTTCATGACTATAATCATGAATATTAAGTAAGTTAAGAATTTTTAAGTTAGACCAAGAATGAAAAGTTAAATAAATGCTCGAAAAAGTGAAAGGTTGGAAATTTTGCACAGCAATATTGTATGTAAAACCTAAATAATAAATATTAAATTTAAAATTCTTTCTCGCAATTTACATTAAAGGTATATTTCTTAAAGTTTACAGAAACAAAATTGACTAAATAAAAGACTTAAAACTAGAACCCGAAATT